TCGCCATCAAATTGGTACTAACTGATCAACACTAGGGTGATCACATGGCAGAAACACTCTCTAGGGATTAGGGGGATGGGGGGGCAAATCTACAACTAAAGGACACGGGGAGCACTAAAGGGAGGGAAGGCCATGCCTTTAACCTGCATTTGGGTGAGGCAAAGACATAAAGTGTAACTATAATGTTTGTACTCTCACAAAACCCTGGAATAATTAAAAAAAAAAAAAAAAAGAACAGGGGACACAGAGTAGCCCCTGACTGCTCGAGGCTAGTTTTGAATTTCCTCAGTGGAACAAAGGTGAGCACCCCCATGGTTGTCCCCTCGGTGCTCTGCAGAGGGTCCCTCCAGGCCACCAAGAGGGGCTTGCTATCAGATTGAAGGAAAAGGTGCCTTCTTCTCACTGGCTCACCCAGAATCCATCTGCCTAGAGTGAGAACGCATTTTCAAGACTCGATAGACTGAGGGTCTGCGTCTTCTAATTCACAGGAAGGCACCCAAGTGCAATGCCCTAAGCATTTGAAAAAAAAAAAAAAAGTCTAGAAAGAAAGTTTTAGGCACTTCATTTTAATTTTTCGCCCAATTTTCACTATGATTATGGCTGGCAGGTGGGAAACACCATGTCCAAAATAAACTTCTCCAGCGCTACTGTAATTACTTCTTCCTTACCCCGCATGAACTTTACCCACCCCTCAGGGTACTCTCAGTATTAAATGGCAAATCTTGAGGTTATGCTGACATACGTGTACAACAGCACTGGCTGGTGATATTTTTCTTTCTGTGCCTGTTATTAGCTCCTTTTCTTCCTTTTTCATAGAGGGGTAAAACATAGAAAGAGAAATTATGAGATTGCTGACTTCAAAGGTTTCTTCATGGAAAAATGCCTGTAATTTTATTTTCTCTATTTTTGAAGCACTTTCTCTCAAAAGCTCTTGATTGTAAATTATATGGTGTAGTAGAATACAAATGAAAAAAAGTGTCTTGGAGTGAGAAGGCAGATCTCAACAACTGTGTTATTTCTAAACCTAACTATGGGGGGGAAAACCAAGACAGCCAAGAAATATCAGATCAATGACATTTAATTATAATGTAGTTTTCAAGACTTTCAAAGATTTGAAGCTTTTGGGAATAGGACCATGACAGGTGGCAAGGATATGACAGAAGGATGGTACAAAACTGGAGCAAAACTTCTCTTGGCAACATTTCTCTCTAAAATTATTTAAGAGCCTGATTTTTAATAATAAGCTATAGCTAAATCAGAAACTGATATTTTTTAAAAACTATTAAGCGTATAAGATCAATTTTTAGCCTTTTAAAAAAAATTATGAGATAAAGTAGATTGAAAACCACCAAGACTTTCACGTAATCAAAACTGCCTTACTTGATAAAACTTTGCTGTTTTTATACTAGTCCCTAAATATCTATTTTCCCCTTCTCTTTGGTAAGAGTTATCTTAGGTGGGCATATGGCCAGCTCGGTTCAGGGGACATAGACACGCTTTTTCTAACACGCTTTTTCTATAAAGAGCCAGATAGTACATATTTTCGACTTGCAGGCCATATGAGCTCTGTTGCAGCTATTTAACTCTGCTTGAAAGGAGCCATAGAAAATGCACGAATGATTGGATGTTTGCTTGTATTCCAATAAAATTTTATTTAACAAAGCAGGTAACGGGCCATAGTTTGCTGACTTCTGACTTAGTTAAAAAATTACATTTCTCAGCCACCTTGTTAGGAAGGGCCTTGTTAGATGTGGTCATATGATTGGTTCTGGGCAAGGGATGAGGATGGAGTGATGTGTGCAAGATCTGGTTTGTGTTCTCAGAGGAAAGGAGTATGCCCTACTCTTCCTCATCCCTACTCTTACCGCTGGAATGGAGATGTGATGGTGGGAGTTGGAGCAGCTACTCTGGATGACCAGTGGAAGCCAAGCGTGGAGAAAGGCAGTGACCCTGGGCTCCCACCACAGTGAGCCACGTATCAGCCCTGGACTGCCTCCCCAGACTCAAAACAGAAATCATCTCTGCCTCATTTGAGCCACTATATTTTGGGATCCCTTTGTTAGAGCAGTCTTACCTGCTTCCTAATTAACATATGTGCCAATTAGGAAATGGGGGGAACTTTATAGATTTTTTAAAAGATATACTTTGTAAAATCACTTTCAAGGACAAGACTGATGGCAGGGACTGGTGGCTCATGCCTGTAATCCCAGTGCTTTGGGAGGGTGGGGGGGAGGATTGCTTGAGTCCAGGAGTTCAAGATCAGCCTAGGCAACATAGCGAGACCCTGTCTCTACAAAAAATAAAAAAATTAGCCAGGCGTGGTGGCATGTGACTGTAGTCCTAGCTATTTTGGAGGATGAGGGAGGAGGACTGCTTGAGCCCAGGAGTTTGAGGCTGCAGTGAGCTGTGATCATGCCACTGCACTCTAGCCTGGGAGACAGAGCGAGATTCTGTCTCTTAAAACAAAACAAACCGGACTGTAAAATGATGAGATTTTAAAACAAAAAATAGAATATGTGAATTCAAATGCATCACTCCTCCAATAATGATGCCATTACAACAGCTCTGAATGCCTATTTTGCATCTGCATTTACAGATAATCCCAGTGATTACTTAACCTACACCCTCTTTGTTCTGATCAAACATACCGTAACCCAGTTTTCTGCACAAATGTTGATCAAGGCCATCTTCATGAGATGGATGACTTGTCATCTCTAAGATATTCAGAAGCATAAGCTGCAAGTTCTGAAGGCAGTTTTCAGCAAGGGCAGCACCAATAAAGAAAGTATTTTGCCTCTCAAGGTCATTAAGTTGAAGTGGAATAAATCTCTCTCCAGTTCTAAATATCATTTAGCCACACTGCTCTGTAATCACACCTCTGGTCACTAAACCCTGTGATAGAGGACTCTGTAATCACGTTTATCATTAGAAACATCAGTAATATATTTACACTACACACACAGTTCCTATTCTTCAGGTGATGTCTTTTTGACCCATCCCTTGTATTTCTTATTGATTTGTGTTCTTATGTAAAGGTTGAGTACCAAAACTCAAAACCTAAGCTAAAAAGCTAGAATTTGGGATAAATGAGAAATAACTACCCATAAGCTTGAGGATTAACAAATAAATGTTCTGAAGCTAACGTTTTCTACATAATGAAATGTGGCAATGATATCTATTCAGATGTAATAAGCCAATAAAACCATCAAAACATCATTTAGTTTTTAGACAAAGATGCAAAATTCAAGAAAAAAATCACAGTAAATCACTGTTAAAATGTAGAGTTTGTACTGACCAAAAAGTAAAAAAGACCTAAATCAGAGCATTAACCTGGGTTCTATCAAGCATTAAGAATGCACAACTTTCTTTTGAGGAAAAGCAGACACAGTTGAGTGCTTTGGACTAGCAACTTCACTTGCATCAATTTAGACAATACGAATTTGCTGAATTAAAATCAAATATGTCCTGTCCAAAGTCAGTTTTTCTAGAGTGTTACCCTTTTTTACTTCACTGATTCACTTGATTACAAATTTCATTTTAAAAATAAAGTTCTCCCTCAAGTATTCTCATTCTCCATTATCATTTACATTTAAATTCCTCATTTAAAGTGTTCTAGAGAAAGGGACCCATCAGGCTAAAGAGAGTGAGAGAAATAAGAACAACTTAGCACTGGACCTAAACCGTGAGTTTTGTTGAAACAGAGCTGCAGCAAAAAGCCCTGGATTATTTTTGTGAAGCCTGGTGCAACGCCACAGTGCTGGCAGCAAGCCAAAGTGAGCACGGCGGCCACTTGGAGAACCACAAACAGGAAGACAGTCTCCACACCAGCGAGCGCTGGTCAGGCACGATGTCAGGCACTAGGTTACGTGTTTGACACAGCTTATCTGAAGGCTGAAAACGCGCAGAGTGGTTCCACAATTTGTCCAATAAGTGGCAGAATCACTATTTGAAACTAGGACTATCTGACTCCAACGTCAATGCTTCTTCCACTAAACTACAAACCTCCATGGTAAAAGTGGGTAATGTGAAGTTATTTAGACTCCCTGTAAACAGTAACAACAAAAACCACTTTCTTGAAAAAAACCTTTCCACTTAGATCCTTTAGTTTAAAAATTCTATTCCTGACCTTAGGCTTTTTCTCGAAACAAAAACTTTCTCGCCGAGTTTTCTCATGTGGCACCCTCTAACTGGATGTCCTTTTTAGCTGGTTAACATCCACCTTTCCTTTAAGGATCTGTTCCAGAAGGCTGACCTGACCTCACCTTCGCCTCCTGTTACTATTTTTTCCTCTACCTTAAAGGACTTAAAAATTTAAGTGTTCACGATCTTTCACAAATTGTTCACAATGTGCATCTGTTAGGTTGTCCTTTTGGTTACAGGTAAGGTTTGCCTTTTCACCTACATTTACCCACACTGACAGTGAAGTGTTCTGATGAGCCTTTCATTCCGTTCTCACTCTCCAACACGTGAAAGGGACAGAAACCTTGAATTTCCATAATGGTAACTGAAGAATATATAATAATGATAACTTAAAGCTACGCTTTGCAATAAGCATAACTGCTCCCCTCTAAATGCCGTGGGTATTTTTTTCCCCAGAAGAGGAGGTCCTTGAAATTTCCCTTTCAAAAGGTCTGTGAATTTCCTTTAAAAATCTAAAATACATATTTAGAGGGGGAAAAAAAGGATTAAGTTTTCTGCATCTTAAACTTTACACAAAATAAAAAGAACTCGCATGAGACAGAGAGAGAGAGAGAGAGAGGGAGGGAGGGAGGGAGAGAGAGAGAGAGTGTGAGTGAGTGTGTGTGTGTGTGTATTATAAGCCACATGTGATCTCAGGATCATTCGATCTGGATGAAAAAAGTCATTTGCTTTCTCCCGTCCATTTGACTGAGCTGAGCCACAGGAAGGCCAAAGGCCATGATCAACTTTGTTTGCTGCTCTTGGCCAGTTCTGCAGACAGCATGTTCACAGAGAAGAGGAACGGGGACTTGGACTCTTACCTCCCAGTGGCTGAACACCAGCTGTGGGCTGGCCAGGCCACTCGTCCTCTTCCTGATTTCATCAGCAAAACCAAAGCTTTCAGCAACAGGCAGCACAGCCTTGATGATGAACATGTCTGTCCCTTCTTTCATTTCTTCTTGAAGCACTCGACCTTCTCTCTTTGACAAGACAGCATAGACTCGACCTGCAAAGCCATAAACCTTCTAAATTTGTTGACCAGTCACATGGCTTGAACCACACAAAGATACGATTACGTATGTACTCTGTAACAATCCACTAATGATTAAATTCATTCTCAGTAATTTTGGTTCACAAAAGCATGGAAAATTTAAATGTCTATTTAAAGAATAAAGCATGATAATTACAGAAAAATTAGAAACAAAAGATAACAAACTGCATTACCCAAAGACAATCCCCATAACATAGCATGAGACTCAGGAGACTTGTAAAATAATCTTTCAATACAATTTCACCTATGAGCTGTCTTTAGGTTTGAAATCCAACGAAATGAGTGTGACTGGGTTTTGTAAATATTAAAATATTTTAATAATTATGGGACACAATTAATGTGACAATTATAATTATGATGACACAGGCTATTTGGGCCTAGTAAGCAGCAACTGGCACAATGGCAGTTTTACACTAAAAATTAAAACCACACATATATAAATGTTTGCTCATATTTTCCTTAAACTGATTATATTTAAGTGGCATGAATATTAAGAGTTTTATTTTGCTGAAAACTGATAGTGTTTGGAATCTTTAATGTCTGGTAATAATTTCTAGTGTCACATCGCCAGAATTCTACCAAATTCTCTTGGCTGACACTTTTACTTCGTCTTTAGGCACAATTCTGCCTCACACTCGGGAGGACACATGTTCCTCTCTGACTGGCGCTCTGTTTGAGTGCCTCTGGGTGCTCAAAGTATCATTCCAAATAGTGAGCAGAGTAGACCCTGCAAAGAACAGAGATAAACTGAAAATGACACACGATCATGAAGAACTTGCTACAGCTAGCAGACACTCTCTAAAGCCTCCTCTTCCATCCAGCGCTTAAAAAATAATTTTCATTACATAAGTGATCTACCCATATATTAACCTTAAAAACGTACAACACTGTAGTTAAGCAGAGCTACAATAACCTATAAACACCACATGGAGTCCTGGGCCGTTCTCCCCTCAGTGACAAGGCAGTAAGTCTGGTATGCATCCACCCACTCATCTTTATGTATTTATTTTTTAAACTAGGAACTGAGGACACAAAGCAAAGTGGTCTGACTCCTAAACTTTTCTCTCTGATTCACATTTCCCCCTGGTTGTGGTCATCCGGAAGGATAAAGGAAAACAAATGGTAGAAATCCCTTTTTTCCTGTTATAGGGTTTTAGGAAAAAAAAAAAACAACCCTAACAATTCTGATGGGCCATGACCATCTGTAGATTTAGCTTAAAAACAGATTAAAAATTCCATTAGTGATAAAAGGCACCACCTTCACCCCGTCTACTTCCCTGCTAGCTACCACACCCGCGCCCTCCCTGCCTCCCGCCTTTCTTCCATCGCTAGCTTCTCATCTCCTCACTATGTGCTCTTTCTTTAACGTCTTAGGCTTTCCTGGTTGCCCCAGGAAACTGCTTCCTTGAAATCACATAATAATTTTCATATTCCTCACCTAAATGCCCTTTTCTCAGTCCTCATTCTCCATGATTTCTCTGTGGTACTTGAGGCTACTGAGCAATACCTTCTCTACCAACTCTCTCCAATCTTAGAATCACCACGTTCTACCACAGTAGTTTGTTTAAATTCTGCTTTTATCTTCTAAAACTCGGGTCCTCCCAGGGCAGCCCGTTCTATGTTTGGACAGCTGCTGGCAACTAGACAGTTCTCCAGCCCCAGATCTGTTCCCCTGAAGTTTCTAACCATCAGTCCTAGTTTTTATCATAGGGGACAAGTTTAATTCCTCTCCCACAGATCAGCCTTTAACCTATTTCGAGACAACTATTTTGCCTTCTCTGTTCCAGGGCAATCTTTCTGTGGCGTGACCTGCACTTCCTGTTCTACCTTGGCCACTGTCCTACTTGACTACTACGATTTATTTCCACCTCTCTTGGTATGTGGTGCCCAGAAATGAAAAAAATACTTGAGGTACAGTCTGAAAAGCTCTGAGAGGAGTAAAGAGCAGAACGACTATTCCCTTCTTTAGTGATCCCCTTTAGGCTATGTATTATTTGCCTGAGATACATAGGGGAAAAAATCTTACCATAATAACTAGTGTGTGTGAACAAGTAATCCTCGCTACTTCATTCTAGAAGTTTTAAGGTGGTCTATGGAAGCGAATACACAACAACAGAGGTAAAAAGGAATGAGGAAAGTGGGGCAGGCGGACTGCGAGTGGAGGGCCAGTAGGGACGAGCCGCCGAACTGCCGCTGCAGAGCCAGCAGCCCTCCCCTTCATGGGTCACGCCAGCAGGCTTGGATCGACAATTATAACTGAAACTGAATGCACTTAATTATGCAATTTTGATCCATTCAATTTTAGTTCCACTAAAACCACATCTTAAAACTGCGACATAGTGAAGGACCACCCAACAAAGGAAAATACTACGATAAAACCTTCCAAATACACTTGGCTGTCACAACAGGTGTGTCCAATGCTTGGATGCATGTGGGGACCCCTAAAACTGAGAAACTAACGTAGCCACACCAATGAGAATTTCTGATCATGTGGTCCTGACTGCAAATACTTCGATACCCCTTCCACTGGATAGCTATTCCATCGCCGCATCTTGGTCACTTTTTTCTTCACTCACTTCAAGAAAGATCCAAATGCCCTACTGCATGAAAGGCACCAGGGAAGAGGAACTTATCAGGAAAAAACAGCTACAAAAAGATTACTCAATTGAAACAATTTTTATCGGGGCTCAGTCTTAAGGACTACACTATAAACATCTCAGCCTGTATTCAAGGCCCTCTGAGACCGGGCACCTCACTCCTATACCACTTCCGTTCCTGTGATGCCAGCGCACAGGACCTGTGCTCTAAACCTGCAGTCCCCAACCCCTTGGGCCCTGTTAGGGACCAGTCCACAGAGCTTCGTTCACCCCCC